CTGTGGCCTTACGCAGATCCTTTGTCTTTGAAGAGTCAGGGGATTGGGGGAACCTTCTATCTGCATCCAATCTGCAGGTCAAGAGGAGGCTGGCCTCTGTCACTGCCAGAGGCGAATCTCTCCTGCTCAGCTCCCAGGCTCAGGGCTGTGCCACTCTCTAGTGCTGTCGGCTTGGACCTGTCTGTCTTCTTCCCCACAGCCTAACACCGTCCACCACCGCAGGGCCGACGTGGCACCTGTACAGTCAAGCTGTACACTAAATAACCGCTGATGGAAAAGAGTGAATTTCTGTGTTCAGAACCATTTCTCTCCTTGGGCCCTGGACTGATCCGGACTGATCCTGCCTGTTAGGGACGGGGGGCAGTGCTGGGAGGTGATTCCTACCTTCCCTCTCGCCTCACACCTTCGCTGCCTGGGTTAAGGCCCCAAGGGCTTCTCGTTCTTGGGAAATTTCTTTATCTCCTCCCTGAGCTGGGTCTCCCCAGATAAGGGGTCTCTGGAGTGTTGTGGGGGGTGCATATTAGGGGCCATGTGTGCCCATAGGTCAAGGCCCATCATTAATTTGGCCTTACCAATAATTAGGTGGAGGTTTTGTCTTCGCCTGTCTGGTTCCTTTGTTTTATTTCTCAAGTGTTCTGTTATCAGACGCTGGGCAGGTGAGCAAGGATGTATTTGATGATCATCCCCAAAGGATCGGGCTACGGGTCCTGCTAGATTCTTGGTATCCTCCTTGGAGACATGGCCTAACCTGGGCTAGCGCTTGGCTTCTTCAAAAATACCCACATCTCCTAGGGGCTGTAGGTTCAGGGACTAACTTTTCCATATTGGAAATCAGAACCTACTCCCCAGACCTTCCCTTTTGTGACATTGTCTTATCTAACTTTCTACACAATCTTACGAAAAGGTATTTCTATTCTTCCTGCCGAGAGAGGTGCAAAGCCTTGCTCAGGATCTCAGAGCCAGTCCGTGGGGAAGGCTCCCCAAATGCAGGCAGTTCGAATGTCAATCTAACCTCCTCTGCCCTGCAGCCCTTTTAAGCTAATTTACATGAAAACAAGTTCAAAGGAATAGTGACCGATTTTGCTCATCGTTACACAAAAGTACATCTTTACCGAAAAATAATAGATTTATGAGAAAATAAATGCAAAGCTCAGAGGAAAATGTTCAGTTAAAATATTTAATATTTGCCTCACACCCAGTCCTAGGATGAGCGACCTCCAGCTCACCCCTGGGGTCCCATGTCGCTCATACTCCCCAGCCAGGTCTCTCCATCAAAATAGAGCCCCGCTCCCAATTGGCGGTTGCTGGCTGAAAGAGCCAGGCAATTGGAGAAAAGTGAATTTGTTACCTGAATGATGCCGCTACTTTCGGACGCCTTCCCCCGCCCTTTGCGTGGCCCGGAGTAATTAAGAACTAGAATTTCTCGGTGCCCAACCGGGTCCCCCAGCTCGCCGTTCCGCCCCCACCGGGGCCCTCCGCGCTTCAGGGCCTCGCGTCCTCTCCTTTAAGACAAGCCCCGCCCCAACACCCACGCCTCCCCGCCTTCTAAGCCCTGCCCCCTCCGGCCCTCCCCTTTAAGGACCGGCCCCGGACGCAGACGAGGCTGTGACGCGGCCGCCGGCCCTCGGGCTGGGTACATTGTCGCGCGCGGCCGCTTCCCCCCGGCCGGGCCCCCTCCTTTGAAACTATGACAAGATATTTCCTTATTTTAGCCTTATCTTGCTGATGAACACGTACTCACCTGCCTCTCTTTAAGGACACTATGAGCTTCATCTTTAATGGAAGTCAGACACCCACACCTTTAATGTGTCCTTATGAAATAAAACTCTATAAAAGGAAAGCCAGGGGAAGGTGAAGATAGAATCCAAAGTAATGGTTATCTTGGGCTGCAGAAACAGTGGTCGGTTGAGGGTGGTGGAAGAACCACTTAGTCAGATGTACGTTTAACTGTTGTCAAGGTACTAGTTTTAATCTGGGGCAGTGGATTCACAGGTGCTTACCACATTACTAAAAATAACTAATAACTAAATAAAAGCAGAGCCATGTGGACCAATGATCTAATGGTGAAGGTGTGTCAGAACTCAAGGATTATAATTAATCCAATTTTATGTACCTGAGTTCTTTAAATTGTCTTTGTGTGTGCAATATTGCATGACATGTGTGTTTGCATGTCAACAGAAGACAAAAATGGTATTTCTATTTGCACAGACTTCTAATTTTTGAAGTGCTTCTATGCATCCATAAAAACTGTTTAAGAAGCTCATTACAGATGGTTGAGAGGTTGGTGCTGTAAAATCAGGACTTTGGACTCCTGTGTCGTAAGGGAAAACTATTTTATTCTTATAATAGCTCTCCAAGGTGGGCAGGACAACTGTTATTATCAATGTGTCACAAAAGAAAAAAAGGGAACTGAGAGGGAAGGGACTTTCATGAGGTTACATAGTTAGATGATCTGCAATGGACTTAAGACTCCGGAGCTCTTATCCATCTCGATCCTTGGTTATTACTTTTCCACTAGGCATTTATTCCATGTCTGTTACATACCAGGTACATTGTGCTTGTGTGTTTATGTTTATGTATGTGCATGTTTTCTGGGCGCTGTGTGCACTTTATGGAATCTCATACCCTGTATATATGCCCTTGTAGTCTTGTGTGTCTCCTACATCTAATCAGCCCACTTCACTCCAGGAGGAATTCCCAGATGGGGTTTCAGTTGTCTTGTTATTCCTAGGTCATTGGTTTCAGCATTTCTCCAGAGCCCCAGCCAGGAAGGAAGGCAGCTTTGATATCAGGGACAGATCCCCAGGCAGTGGGCACAGAGCAGAGGAGCATGCCAGCTATGCCTCAGTAATGATAATATTTACTATTTCATGGTAATTATAGTTTATGAGGAGTTCTCATAAATACTATCATTTAATTCTCTTGCTGAAGGTATATTTTATGATTCTCACTTATCTCAGATACAAAGAGAGGATAAATTGCTTGCTCAGGGTAGCTCAACTTGAGGACAGACTGGAGAATTCAGGTCATTTATTTCTAAACTCGATTTTCTTTCCACTGTGTCCTGCTGTCTCTGAAAGGGCAACAAGAGACTATCCTCTTTCTAGCATTGCGGAGAGAAGCAGGTAAAAGCTCAGTGCCAAGCAGTAGGAAGACCCCAGTGACCAGCTTCTTGCTGGGCGAGATTGGGGTGGGGTGGCAGGAGGGACACCAACTCAGCGCCCTGAGCAGCCCCAGACTGAGAAAGGGACTGACAGTCGGAACTTCCCACCTTCCTATTGTCTATGCCATTCTCAGTCCTTGGGCATCTCCCCCGTGTGCCTGGGGAAGTGACAGCAATATCATAAAACTGGTGAGGGAAAGGTGTCTTCTAAGCTCTGTGGCCTTACGCAGATCCTTTGTCTTTGAAGAGTCAGGGGATTGGGGGAACCTTCTATCTGCATCCAATCTGCAGGTCAAGAGGAGGCTGGCCTCTGTCACTGCCAGAGGCGAATCTCTCCTGCTCAGCTCCCAGGCTCAGGGCTGTGCCACTCTCTAGTGCTGTCGGCTTGGACCTGTCTGTCTTCTTCCCCACAGCCTAACACCGTCCACCACCGCAGGGCCGACGTGGCACCTGTACAGTCAAGCTGTACACTAAATAACCGCTGATGGAAAAGAGTGAATTTCTGTGTTCAGAACCATTTCTCTCCTTGGGCCCTGGACTGATCCGGACTGATCCTGCCTGTTAGGGACGGGGGGCAGTGCTGGGAGGTGATTCCTACCTTCCCTCTCGCCTCACACCTTCGCTGCCTGGGTTAAGGCCCCAAGGGCTTCTCGTTCTTGGGAAATTTCTTTATCTCCTCCCTGAGCTGGGTCTCCCCAGATAAGGGGTCTCTGGAGTGTTGTGGGGGGTGCATATTAGGGGCCATGTGTGCCCATAGGTCAAGGCCCATCATTAATTTGGCCTTACCAATAATTAGGTGGAGGTTTTGTCTTCGCCTGTCTGGTTCCTTTGTTTTATTTCTCAAGTGTTCTGTTATCAGACGCTGGGCAGGTGAGCAAGGATGTATTTGATGATCATCCCCAAAGGATCGGGCTACGGGTCCTGCTAGATTCTTGGTATCCTCCTTGGAGACATGGCCTAACCTGGGCTAGCGCTTGGCTTCTTCAAAAATACCCACATCTCCTAGGGGCTGTAGGTTCAGGGACTAACTTTTCCATATTGGAAATCAGAACCTACTCCCCAGACCTTCCCTTTTGTGACATTGTCTTATCTAACTTTCTACACAATCTTACGAAAAGGTATTTCTATTCTTCCTGCCGAGAGAGGTGCAAAGCCTTGCTCAGGATCTCAGAGCCAGTCCGTGGGGAAGGCTCCCCAAATGCAGGCAGTTCGAATGTCAATCTAACCTCCTCTGCCCTGCAGCCCTTTTAAGCTAATTTACATGAAAACAAGTTCAAAGGAATAGTGACCGATTTTGCTCATCGTTACACAAAAGTACATCTTTACCGAAAAATAATAGATTTATGAGAAAATAAATGCAAAGCTCAGAGGAAAATGTTCAGTTAAAATATTTAATATTTGCCTCACACCCAGTCCTAGGATGAGCGACCTCCAGCTCACCCCTGGGGTCCCATGTCGCTCATACTCCCCAGCCAGGTCTCTCCATCAAAATAGAGCCCCGCTCCCAATTGGCGGTTGCTGGCTGAAAGAGCCAGGCAATTGGAGAAAAGTGAATTTGTTACCTGAATGATGCCGCTACTTTCGGACGCCTTCCCCCGCCCTTTGCGTGGCCCGGAGTAATTAAGAACTAGAATTTCTCGGTGCCCAACCGGGTCCCCCAGCTCGCCGTTCCGCCCCCACCGGGGCCCTCCGCGCTTCAGGGCCTCGCGTCCTCTCCTTTAAGACAAGCCCCGCCCCAACACCCACGCCTCCCCGCCTTCTAAGCCCTGCCCCCTCCGGCCCTCCCCTTTAAGGACCGGCCCCGGACGCAGACGAGGCTGTGACGCGGCCGCCGGCCCTCGGGCTGGGTACATTGTCGCGCGCGGCCGCTTCCCCCCGGCCGGGCCCCCGCCGCCCGCGTTCCACCGAGCGCCAGGCCCCCGGGGGGAGGGAGGGAGGGAGCAGGGCCGGTGGGCGCCTACGGCGCGCGGCAGGACCCACGGAGCCCCGCGACCCACCGAGCCTGGAGCCGGGCCGGGGCAGGAAAGCCGGCTCCAGCCCGGAGCGAACTTCGCAGCCGGGCGGGGGGCGGCGGGGACCCCGTCCGGAGCCGGAGGAGGGGGCGGCCGCGGGCCCTCTCGCCTCTGCTCCCGCGTCTCCGGGCACCATGCTGTCCAACTCCCAAGGCCAGACCCCGCCGGTGCTGTTCCCCAGCCCGCCGCCGCCGCCGCCGCAGCAGCAGCAGACCCCCGCCCCGGCCCAGCCTCATCCCCCGGCCCAGCCGCCGCCGCAGCCCCCGCAGCAGTTTCCCCAGTTCCACGTCAAGTCGAGCCTGCAGATCAAGAAGAACGCCATCATCGACGACTACAAGGTCACCACCCAGGTCTTGGGACTGGGCATCAACGGGAAAGTTTTGCAGATTTTCAACAAGAGGACCCAGGAGAAATTCGCCCTAAAAGTAGGTTTGGGGGAGCGGGGAGGACGGGCAGAGGGGGCTCCCGGGGCGCCCCAGCGTTCCGGAGCCGCAGAGGTGAAGTCTCAGCCTGATCGCACCGACCCTGTCCTGGGACCGGGCGTCCGGGCCGCGGAGGAGTGGCGGCGGCGGAGCTCGCGTCCGACCCGGGGGTGCCCCGCGCGGCGGGGGCGGCGGGCAGGGGGGTCAGGTCCGCGCAGACCTCGCCGCCGAGATGAGTTTCCGGTCACCTCCGGGTGAGAGTGGCGGGGACTGGGGAGCCCTCGTGAGGACTCTGCCATTTTGGGGTTTGAGCGGGATCCAGCCAAGGCGCAACGGTTGGCTTTGGGACCACTTCTGCTAATTTCACCCGTCTCGAGGAAGCGATTATCGGGGGCTGTGGTTCTCCATCTCCTCCCTCTTTTTCTTTCTGCGGGCACAAAAGGCCCATTACTCATTGAGCTGGTTGGTCGGTTTGGTTTGGAGAAGTAGGATCTCAGAGGTTTATTTAGCCTCGCTCCTTATTTGGGAGCCGGAATGTGTGATTTCACTTCCCTGGGCCTCGTGAGCGCTGCCGTGCCGCCTTGGGACGCGAGGGCCCGGGAGGTGCTAGGCTGGAGATTCCGCGCGGACGCTGCCGTCCGTGCGCAGGGTTGGGATTGTTTTGATCCGAGAGCAGGCCCCCTCCTACCTTCAGTGCCGGTGAGGCTCCATATGGGAGGCCAGCAGGCTCCCGGCGTTGCCTGCTGTTTCCATAGCCCCATTGATCCCTGTAAACCGGCTTTCCAAACCGCGGCGTGGCCCCGCGCTGATCCCGCAAATCAGAGGTGGTCACTTGAGCCCTGGGCCTGGGCGATTGGTCGACAGAGGGAACGAGCGTTATCCCTGAGCTGGGGAAACCCAACCTCTTTTTTTTTTTTTTTAAAGGGGGTGTGGTGGAGGAATATGGGGATTTAAGTGAGAAGTTAAACAGAATGGACTTGGAGGTCAGATCAGATGAGTGGGTCCCACTGCTGTGTGAGCCAGTGTTCGAGGTCACTAAGAAGGTTTTCCCCTTAGGGAAGTTTCAGATCAAACCACATCTCTAAAGGTGACACATCACGCCTATTTCCCCCGAGGTATCTTAATGATTGGAGGAGGAGAAAAATACTTCCTGTTGTATTTTTCTCTTCCCCCTCAATCCTCACTGGCTAGCTGTATTTCAGCAATTAATGCAGAACTTCACATATGGTGGAACTGTTGGAATACATAATTAGATGTAATAGAACCCTGGTACTTTGGGGTTGTAAACAGCAAGTAGGTCCAACTTACAGATTTTAAAGCCTCTGAAATTATTTTCTTTCTGCTTTCCTCTTTTTGGGTTGCACATTGGGCAGACCCCAACACCGCCACATTTCTTTGGTTTCTAAGTACTGCTGCGGGCTTTGGGTTGTTTAGTGTTGACTGTTGGAGAAGGAATATAACAGTATCTTGAACACTTTAATATCTGCTCTTTAAATTGCTTTTTCCCCATAACTCATAACTGGGGGGCAGGGAGAGGGGGTAGTTGTTTGACCATGTTTCTGACCTTGGTGAGTGGAGTTGAGTGAATACTGTTTTACCGCAGTTAACCTGTATTGTTGGGGAAGTGACAGACGTTTTCTTTGGGAGAGTTTTCTGTCCCCTTCGAGACGCCATCTGCCTTCACCCAACAGCAGTTTGAGGACACTGGCTGCTCTTTGCTTGGGTAGTTGGAATACTGTATACAGACTTCAAAACAAAAGCTCTCAACTTCTGCTCCTCATTTTATTTAATGACACACAAAACCACATTCTAAAATGCTTTTGGGTGGCAATTCGTATTTCTGTTATAATTAATAGGAGAGAGATTTGGGTATTTTCCCCCTCTGAATAATTCCGAAAGGAAAAATCCAGCAGTATTTTAGGTAAAACTCACAGTTTATCCTTCTCAGGTTAGAAGTGGGTGAAGATTGTAGTCAGAGGCTGTTTTGACAGGCAGCTTGTTCCCAGATTTTGTAAGTTGACTCAACGGTTAAATTGTAGATTTCCCACACATCTTTGTGTAAAAACTTAATAACTGAGGAAGAAAGAGGGATGCTGTGAGAGACAGATGGTAATGTCAATACCATTTGCATATCCAAATATTGGCTAAGACGTAATTACAGCTTGGCGGGCGGGGGCAGGGAGAAGCTGGCCCAAAGAATCATGTTCTGGAGATGTACACCGAAGAGATTTCTAGATCTTGAATGTTGATTGACTTACCCTTAGGTGCTGAGTGGCGAGATGATTTTCTAACCCAAGAGTGTTTGATGGCAGAGCAAGGGAGGAAGATGTGGTAGGCTGGATGGGCTCCCCATCAGGAAGATGCCTGAAAGAGAAGGTTTAGGGGAGTTGAGGGGAGTTCTGACATTTGCTATTTCATAGCTCTGGGAGTTGATGGGAGGTGGCGGCTGCCAAGGCGCCCTGCTGGTACCTCCACTCTGAGAGCTGACGTTTACATGTCTTTGGAGGGGACTGCGACCTCACTCGCCATCTCTCCTGGCTGCTTTTGCTGAGTTCTGAGTCATTCTCATGCTACAGTCAGAATGGAAGGCCCTGTAGAGGTCGTTTCATTGAGCCCCCTCATTCTGCAGATGAGAAACCCAAGGCCCGGAGCAGAGACTCACTTAAGGTGACATAGGCATGTCCTGGGCAGAGCCGGATTTGAACCCAGGACGCCTGACTGCCCGTGTCAGGCCTCTTCCACCTGGTAACTGCAGTGACATCAGCAGTCTCCAGCCTGGGGCTGGCTGCTCTCCAGAGCCCCTCCAGCCCCGGGAGCCACTCTGTGCAGGCCCTCATCGACTGTCAGCAACTGGGTGCTGGGTGGGTACTTATCTCCTCCCCAGCAGTAACACCCAAAGTTGGAGGGGCAGCTTATAAACCGACTCAGCATGTCCATGACTCTTGCATGTATGGTAACAAGCATTTTTTTAAACCACTCTCACCCCTTTTCCTGTTTGAAAGAAATCTTATTTATTAGTAGTATTTTTTTTTATAAGAAATGGGAACTCTATTAATCATTTCTTTGGTCGTCAACCCAGCTGTGTGGCAATGGATCATATTTCTTGCGGAGTCCCTCAGCTGCTTCCTGCCTCACTGTGTCATGGTGACTGTTAGGTATCAGCTAAACAAATTTAATTAAAGCTGGCACTGCTGTCCCTCTCTGCTGTGCGAGTCTGATTAAGTGAAGCACGTTATTGCGCTACAAAATATAGAATGTTGTCATAACTTATCTCTGTTTACCTTTCCATTGCGTGCATTGGAAAAAACAAGGTCCTGTGGTTTCGTCTCCTTTCCGTTCTCCAGCAGTCCTGACCCTCCCCAGGTCACTTAGTGTCGCTATGATGTGGCTTCCTTGGTGTTCTGGATGGGAGACAGTTAGAAACTTCCATGGTTGGTCTGGATGCTGCTAGAGGGGAACACAAGAGTTCCCACATGCCCGACAGTGCAGCCCACATCCTTTCCAGCACACCTCGTGATGTGTCCCTGTCAGGGACCAAGATAGGTAGTGTGACTGGGTGAGGGGCAGTGTTCCAAACTGGGGTTTGCCTGGATGGAATCACAAAGTGACAGAAGTTTCATTGACCAAAAACAGCCTCTTTTATATTCACTGTGGTTATAGGTGCTGGATGGTTTGCTGAGCATCCTACCATATGCTTCGTTGATTGGAGGGTAGACATATAAAGCGGCCTTAAAGTTTTGGGGGCCAAGAAACCAATTTGGAGAAGGCAAAATTAACAAATGGTAGTGTAAGGCTGCATTGTTCAACATGGTGCCAATACCCATGCATGGCTATTAAAATCAGAATTAATTACATTAAACTGAATTAAAAAATCTGTTGCTGGCCACATTTCAGGTGTTCAGTGGCCACATGTGGTTCATGGCTAATGAATTGAACAGTGCAGAAGATTACTTTCATCCTTATAGAAAGTTCTACTGGACTTTGCTGGTCCAGACGTTAAGTTTTGCAGCTGGGAATAGAGGAGCTTTGAAAGGGAAATCTGTGAGGACCGAAGGTGCTGGGATAGCTCCCTGCCGGGTGCAGGAGGTGGGGACGGTGGTCCTGAAGGAAGAGCCAGAGAGCAGGTCGGTGAGGGGGAGTGGGGCTGGTGGCTCAGTGGTGAACCTGACCCATCTTTGTGTAAAAAGTAGGCTTTAAAGCATTTGAGGAGCATGAAATAAACTAACAGGATGTTACAAAGAAAGGTTATGAATTTCTGAGGTTGGGGTGTGTGGTTTTTTGAGGGAAGGCCTGGTTCCTGGTTTTAGAGATCCTGTCCCTCACTGGGGCCGTGGCCCTGGCTCCTGTCTGCTGCAGATCAAAGCCTGGTCTGCTCATGGTCTTTTTCCACTTGTGAATTCTAGGCTTTGATGGGGCTTGAGAATAATCTTCTGCCAAGATCCGGGATCAGTGGCTGACACAAGGGGGCAGAAAAGGAGCCCCAGGCCTCAGACCAGATTGGGATGGGGTCTAGGAACTGACGGGGCACCCTTTGAGGATGAAGGTGTTGGTATCCATGATTGGGATGCTTTGACTGCTTGGAGGCTGAGGAGTTGGGCCATCAGCAATTGATTCCATTTAAAGAGCAGGTGCAGGGGATTCAGGCCAGGAGGAGCCACTGGAGGCAAACTTGATCCCTGACCAAAGCCTGGGGTTGCGGGAGGGGCCGAAGCTTCTGTCACCAGCAGAGCCCAGTGTGTGGAGTCTCTGCCAGGGGGAATGTCAGCCAGGCAGGGAAGGGCAGAGCACCGGCATCTGCTCTGAGACCTTTCTCAGGGCCCAGGCCGCCCTCTGGGGCTCCGATCTGGCTGCCCCCCAGGTGGTTCGATGTGTGTGATGCTTCTAAGGGTCATGTGCAGTCTCTTTTTCCCCCACTCTGCCTTGTACTGTTCCTTTCCAGGGAGGAGGGTAGACAGGACAGAGTTGTTATTTGGGTTTGAAGGGGCCTAAGCTGCTCTTGGTAATGATATAAGGCCCAGTGGTGGAGGGACCCACACCTCCTAGCACCTTACAGCTGGCAGCACTGCCTGGTCATCTTTCTTGACTCCTTCCATCTCACCGAGGAAGAGGCTGGACCAGTCCAGAAAGGGTCGGAGGTATGTTCACAGTCTTACCTGATGTTGGCATCAGAGCCTTGGGACCTGGCTCCCTGGGACCTCCTCTTTGTTAGGGTTCCTGTGGGTTTCTGGTTGCTAGAGGCAGTATACTGGGACTGTAGGCCTGGCAGGTCAGAACTGAACTCTGCTAACCGGTCACTAGGTTCCTTCTACATAGGTCACCTTATAAACGGCGACGTTGGTAAAGAGAAGGGGCCATGCCCCTGGGCAGCCTGATGTATACCAGGTATGAGCCCAAATTAGATTTTGTGCCTTTTCTAGTCTTTAGGGGAATACTGATATTTCATATTTTAAGATATGTATGGGTGTAAGTATTTAGAGATGAGTCTGTTGCTATGGGTGATGTGCTAGATTAGAAAGCAAAAAAATGGTTTTTGTGCCCTGGGAAGTAGTTGTGTGACCTTGAGTAGGTCAGTTCAATGTCCTAGGCCTTAGTGCCCACATTGGAGGGTTAGGCTCCTGGCCTCCTTGAGCCTTCAGTGAGGGCGAGGGGAAGGCTGGGCTGCAGTGCCAGCCAAGGGCAGGCAAGACCGCTCGCTGCCTGCCCCACATCTGACCTGCAGCAGGATCTGGGCCCACAGGGGTGCACTTTCGATAGGCTTAATGCTGGGCTCCAGGGCAGCCTGTGTCCAGTTAATTAATAATCTCACTGACCAGCTGTTCCTTCTCTTGTGTGAAGTCTCAGAAAGTGTTTCAGCCAGTGCCTCAGCAGAGAGGGTTGGTGTATAGCGGTGCAGGTGTGAGTCTATGCTTTTGCTTTTTTTGGTATCAGAAGAATCCTGTAGTGTAGTGGCAGCTCAAGTACAGATGGGGAATTCTTTATCTTTCCCATCTGGAACTCTGTTCCCACTTGAGGTGTGGGGCTGTGGCGCTGTGACGGGTCTGAGGCTGTGCCCCACGCAGGGGACCTGGCTGGAGCAGGGAGTGCGGGTCACCATCTAGCTTACTGTCCACTCGTCAGGGTCAGGCTTTGCCTTGGCATGTGGCTGGGTCCATCCGAATGGATCTTTCTTTTGATTCACCCAGAGAGAATAGTATAGGCCAAGGGCTGTACTGAGGTGGAAGCTGGGGACTGATTCCCAGAGGTGATGAGTAAATAGGGATTTGCATCTAAGTGTCACTTGGCCCGCCGGTTGGGGCTGGCTAAGATTTCAGGAGGGGAAAGAGGCGGGTGATGCCTGCTGATGTCTTTTCTCTCCTCTTCCTGCCACTTGAGGTCTAAAGCAGTGGTTTCCGCCCTGGAGCTCTGGGCTGTGGGGTGCTGTGTGCCAGGCCATGGGATTTGGTTGGAAGAAGAAGAGATGTGGTAGAAAGGGGATAAAGTTGTGCTCAGCCTCTGGCAATGTAGAGTTCTTGAGGTCTTGATTCTCTGATCCAGTGAACACCTTTGTATGCAACCAGCACGTGGTAGGGCTGGGGTGGGCCCCAAGGTCTGTAGCTGATACTCCCCTCCAAGACCAGCCAAGCCGTGGGTGTATTCCGCTAGGAGCCAGAGCTGTCCAAAAGGGTCATGTGAAAGGGCATCTTGCATCTGAGGGACGTTTTCAGGCACCTCCATGGCCAAGGACTCATCTGGGAGGTGAAGAGCGGTGAGGACAGGCGGAAGCTGTGTGGCCACCTTTGGAAGCCTTTGTGTCTCAGGGAAGATGAGGGGGATACAGGGATCTGTGCCGTAGATGCCTTCTCGTGGGCTTAGCTCCACGATGATTGTTCCTCGGAGCCTGGGGCGGAGGTGAACTCTCTCCTGTCCCAGGTAGGGGAGGGGCCTAGGAGGAGGCCCAGGACGGGTGCCTGCGTCCTTACCGTCCTTACCTTCGTTCTCCGTGGGGCTCCTTACCTTCCGGTCCCCCAGGGCAGGGGGTGGAGTTGACCACTTTGCTGCATTTTGATTATCTATATTGGTCCTAGGCTCTCAGCCCACACTGGGCATTAGCAACCTGGCCTCCTGCCCAGGGCCCAGAACTTTACTCAGCCCCTCTGTCCCAATAGCTAAAAATAAACCTGCCACTGCCGCAGCCTCCCCTCCTCAGCCAGGCCCTGCTCTTGGCCCCAGGTCTTCCTGCCAGCTGCGGAGCTGCTTCTGTTTTCACTCTTGCCCTTCCTATTTGCCCCCTTCTCTTCCAGCTTGAGCGTGGTAGGCGGTTTGGGGCCAGCTTGCTCTTCTGAGTGCCGGGAGCGCACTGTGGCCGGTACTGGTTCTGCAGGTGTCCAGATGTATCTGTGCAGAGGCTCTGTGGGCTGCCTTGCCCAGGCCCTGTTAGGGGAAGGGGTAGAGGCAGGTGGAGGGCTGCACAGATTCATCAGAGTCAATTGGATTCTCCGCTGCGCTCCCTTCAGTCTGGCTTCCCTCAGGCTGCACCCGCAAGCAGGCTGCCCGGCCCGAAGGCTTGTGGGCTGAGGAGGAGAGCCCTGCAGGAGGCTGTCCCAGGCCGTCACCCCGACTGCCCTGTGACCCAGCACGCTGTCTGCCCGAGGACTCCTGCCCTGTTGCTGAGCTGTACTCCCCACCTCTGCAGTGTGGGGCTTCAGGTTACCGCGTTCAGAGGGGTGACCTCATTCTGCTGGCTGCCAAGAATAGCTAGGCTCTGCCTCTTGGGGTCTCCTTCCAAAGTCAGGCTGTGTCTGACCTGCCCCCCCACCCCCACGCACCCCGGCCTTCCCGGCTCAGCCACCTGCAGGATGTCACTGAGAGCATGGGTCTCTGCTGCCTCCTGACTGGGGTGTGTGTGTGGGTGCAGGGATATTGGTGATCTGTCTCCACTGGGGTCTGTTGAGGTGGCCTTGTTCCCTACTGCCCATGGCTCCTGGAGGAAAGGGGTTCAGGTTGCTGGGGCACCTCTTTAACTGACAGGAACCAGGCAGAGTATTCTTTGAGTTGGACAGTGGCATTCTCTTCTTTTTGATTTTTCTAATCCCTGGACAGGTGTTGGTACTGACCATGTCACAGGAGGGTTCTGGGTCTGTTTTCTGGATTAGAATTTATTTGGAAGAAGGGGTGTAGTGGGGGGAGTGATAGGAGCTGAGGTAGGACTTGGGGGACTCTCTGCCTTCAGCCAGAGTTACATGCCCAGACCGTGCCTCCAGGACTGTCTTCTCCATGTCCCCCTGGGGCCTCACTTCCCCTGCAGGGAGAGATTTATCTGCCAAGGCCCATGGCCTGGGAGGGGAGGAGCGGGGTGTCCATTGCTGAGTTATTTTTAACTTCCGCAGAAGGAGCCCCTGTCCTTGGAGTAAGCTGAACCCTTTCTTCTCTCCCCATCCTGTCTCCT